CAGATATTTAAGCTGACTCAGCTGACCGAGTTGACTCGGAATCGACCCGGTTAAGCTGTTGTTGGCAAGGTTCAGCGTTTGAAGTTTCCTTAGTCGACTCAGTTCACTCGGGACCGAGTCATTGAGTCTGTTGCCAGCGGCGGTGAAGACTGCAAGGCTCCAGCAATACCCCAAATCGGAAGGAATTGGCCCACTCAACTCATTTTCCTGCAGAATCAAATATTGCAACTCACTGAGTCGACCGAGTTGGGGCGGAATCGAACCGGTGAGTCTGCATGAGGCTAAACCAAGGTACTCAAGGTACGGCATATACCCAAGTGTCTCGGGAATCGGGCCACTGAGTTGATTGTCACCGATTCGCAAAACTCGGAGACGCATTAGCGAGTCGATCTCGGTGGGGATTTGGCCAGTGAGTTGGTTGGTGTGGAGTGAGAGAGATTCCAACAAACTGAGGTTGAGGAGGGCAGGTGGAATGGGACCCTTGAGACGGTTAGAAGAGAGATCAAGGTGGAGCAGGTTTTTCAAACGACCGAGAGAGGGTGATATTGACCCACCGAGTGATGACTCGGACAGGTTGAGTCCCACCACTTTCACCGAGTCGTCACCACCACATGACACCCCTTTCCAACTACAGTAATCGGTGTTGTTTTCTGACCAACCGCTTAAAACATTTTCTGCGTCTTCAGTGAACGATGATTTCACTTCCAAAAGCACTCTCATGGTGCTCTCATTGCCATGGCAAAGGAGTGCACAAGAAAAACACAGGAGGAGCACAACAGCAACAAGGGTTGAAATCCTCATCGATGCTTCTTTCATTTGGGATCGAAAATGAGTGGATGAGTGAATGAACGAGTGAGGGATAGAGGGTTACTTCAACGACAACGTTAAATTCTTTAGCTAAAATTGTTGTTCTTATCAACCAAAAGACGCATGAAGACAAGTAAAATTTAATGGTGTAGTTGTAGGTTGGGAAGCGGTGGTGGTTGTTCTTGGATTGTGGGAGTGTGTTTTAGCAGAAGAGAAAAGGTTCAAGTGAGGAAAACTACACGGGGAAGCTATATGCTACATGCTAGTAAGCTTTCACATGCGCATGTTCTCTTGGAGTGTGTATATGTGTAAGCAAATTGATAGGTTTTGATGATCATGCATTTGCATGACATGCATTGAGTTGGAAGTAGCAGATGTGAATATTTTGACAAAGCATGTCTATCATCTATGAATGACTATGCATGAGCATGCAACTGTGTCAGTCACCTGCAATAGTGACCAATTACCATTTATGGCAATAACGCTTATTCATTAAATGCGGAATAGCTGAATATGGGAGGGTCAAACTGGGGGTTCAAAAAAGCATTGGAAATAGTGATAGAAAAAAGGTGGTAATGAATGAAACAATAAATACCCCATTACGTCTCTATGATGTGTGAAAACAGAAATCATGGAGTGAGACTAGGAAAACATAAAAGGTGAAGTCATGAAGATATGAGGTTACAGTGGTGAATATACAGCGTTGGGTGAACAAACGATGGAGATTTTACATGGTGTGAACAAGGAGAAAAATCTCATTCAGAAAGCTAACAGTTAAATTCCCCTTTAAAATTTGTTCTTTGTTTGTTCTACCAAGTCAATGGAGTCCCCACAAATCATTTGTCATATTATACGTAAGCCACGTAAGGGGTTCAATGAATGGTTAACATTTGTGTGGTTAAGTTCTTCAAGAAACGCGTATATCACCAACAAATATATCAGAGAGTATTTAGTTGCAGCAAGTTAAAGAAAAGCTTTGAAGTTTATGCATGGAAGATATGTTTATTGTGGAAGTTGATTCCTTTATAGTTGTAGTATTGTTTTTCTTGTGAAGGTGAAGGGTTTGATGTACCAAACCAAGATGTCGTTTTGCAGTGTTTGGTCTCTCTGATTGATTGGTCGCATGCAACTTGCAGTAAAACCTGTTGGCTACTGAAACTGGTTTTGTCTTTTTTAGATTTGCCTACTCAATAAGGTTGCTGTTTTCCTAAATTATAGTGGTAGTTAAGAAATTAGTGATAAATTATTTTTTCTCAAAAAATAGTAAAATATTTTTATTAAAAACTAGTATGCTAGAAGTGTATTATAAATTGGAATTAATTTCACTTATGCTCTCTCTAATGCACTGAACAGGTAATGTTGATCTCATAATTTTAATTACTTGATTTTAATCTGTGTTTTAAAAAAATGAACCATTTTGGATTTTGTAGTTTTAAAGCTATATTTGACAAAAAATAGTTGAAAAAGTAATGAATTGCTAAAAGTTGAAAAGTGATAATTTATGTACCATTCAATTGAAAGACTCTAGTAACTCATAACATTTAGTTATGGATGAATTAATCAATAATTTTAAAAATCAACAATTATTAGATAATAAATGTTGTAACCTTCAACTCATATTGAATTTAAATATCAATATTATTGGTCAACTATAATATCTATAACCGATTGTCAAATTAAAATCACTTCTTTATTTTAATCAAGTCAACTTTATTAATATTAACTGAATGTGATATTAATATTAATCAATCCTATTACTTTCTGACTTTTACTTATATTATAATTATTAATTTTTAGTGTTTATAACATTTTTCATAAATAAATTTATTATAAAACCTATGTAATAAAAGAGGTGGTTATAAATTTTAAGAGAAATAACACATGTAATGTTGTTATACATTATTTATTTATTTATTTTAGTTTATAATGAATATTTTGTCATATCTAAAAAAATTGTTGAAATAAAGTTTGATTAAAAATTAATAATTTATATTCTCACGTTGATGTTTTTACCTATGAATTTTGAAATTTAAGTTCCAATCCATTACAAAACTTTATTTTTTCATGTCTTTTTTTTAACAAATGAAATAACAAAATATTTAAAATGATTTGTATGTATTTATTAATTAAATTAATAGATTGAGTTTGTGATTTAGAAGTTGAAGAATAAGAAGACGAGAAAGTTATAACTTATTTTTAACATTTTTATTATTTAATTATTAATTATTATTTTCTGCATATCTTATATTTTTTATGTAAAAAATTATATTATTTTCAAAATTTTGTATATTTTACTCTTCTTATATATGAACAACATGTCAATGTGACATAAGCACCTCATATCATGTTTATTGTTATTTAGTTTCAGAGTGTTGCATCATTATTAATAAACTAAGGACAATAAACAATAATACATACAACAAAAATGAAAATATGAAAGTAAAAATATCTTAAAAACAAACTTGGATGATAAAATTTACAAAGTGGTAGTAATTGAATAGTAAAACATGTAATTAAGTCTAATTAAAAAATAAAAAAAAGTCAAATCAAAATCAAACTGCATATTATTTTATATCTAAATTAGATAATTTCTTTGATCTAAAAACAAAATCAAACATGCTGATAGTATATTGGAAGACCCTAAAAAAGGTTTCACAAAGATTGGCCTATGTTGTTCCTTTGTCATTGGGTCCTTAAAATATTTTGAGTTTGTTTTGATAGTTAATGCTGTGAGTTGGTAGAAGCTTATGATGCAATGTTTCTGCCTTCAAATATAATCACTCTTTGACAAAAAAAAAAAAAAAAAAAAAGGTTTATAGTTCAGTTCAACCTTTATTTTCTTGTTCTTCTTCTTACAATATTTAATAAGAAAAGTACTTTGAAAACGAGAAAGAGAAAACTTAAAGAAATACTGAACATTTGGTCAACTTCAACCATTACAATACAAGCACAATTAATAGTTTAAAGTCGAGTACACTCGTCACTGTTTTCTCTCATGAATATAATATCACCAGTATTTTAAAACTGTAAAACACTTATTATATAAATTTAAATATAATTTTAATTTTATTGTTTTTAAGATTAAGAGTATATGATATATTATAGTAATTTGAAAATTATTTGTTTTTGAATTTTAATTTTATTCGTTTTTAAACTTTAATCCAAGATTATTGAATAATATATATATATATATATATATATATGTATATTTATTTATAATTTCAATAAGAAGTTTATATATATATATATATAATAATTATTATTATATTAAAATTATATATAATATAAAGTATACTTTTTTTTATTTGAATTAACTATTATTTGAATATATATATATATATATATATATATATATATATATATATATATATTGTTATATTTTAATATATGTACATTTTTTTGTTACTTTTTTTTACCTAGTATTCTTTTAGTTGTTATTATTAACTATGATTAGTTTAGTACCGAAAATAAAACATCAATTAAAAGCATAATTGTACTATTAACGGTATAATTTAGTTGAGTAATATATTCACGATATTTTATACATAAGATAATATACACACACACACACACACACATATATATATATATATATATAACATTTTATACACAATAAATTTTATACTATTTTTAAAATAATAATTATTTTTTATGTATGAAATATTATTAAAAAAAATTATTGTATATATTTGTATAATTATATGCTTATTATATATTAAAATTAATTTATGTAAAGAAGAAAAAAAGAAAAAAAAAGATATTACCAAACCTTATATATATATATATATATATATATATATATTATACTATATGTATATATATTTAAATCATTTTGCATTGTTAATTAAAATTTACAGGAAAGTACATAGTAAACACACAAAAATATTAAAAAAAAATGTTCACTAATATATATTTCTTTTAATCAATCATTCAGTCATTCCCTAGCCATATCCAAATAATAGGAGAGAGATAAATTATACGAGAGTCGTGCTAGATTCTGTGGTGAACGATTAGAGAAACAAAGGGAACATGCTAGCATGTCATGAGTGCTCCATTTTGTGCATGGCACGTTTGTCTCAGCCTAATAGCATAATCCCAATATCAAAGTCTTCGTCTTTATATATATATATACCTTATTTTAGCTGAAAAACTTAACATTTGGGGTGTCAATAGCACAAAAAGAGACAGAATATATGTCAAACTCTTCCCTTCCATTGTTGTTTCTTCTTTTGGCCTTTTGCATTATTTCAGCCTCAGCTGAACCTTATTATGAAAACTCTGATTATAAGCCTTCCTCTTCCTACACACCCTCAAGCAGTGATACTGTATTCTCTCTTCAAGTCCCTACATTAGATGAAACCAAATTTTATAATCTTCTATCCTTTGGTTACTACCGTAAAACCTGCCCCCAATTTGAGTCCATCCTACATAACAAAGTGAAAGAATGGATCAAGAAGGACTACACTTTTGCAGCTAGTCTCATGAGACTCCACTTCCATGATTGCTCTGTCAGGGTACATACATAACTCAGTACTTTATGTATTAACATATTATCATTATATATTGTCAGTGTTTTTTTTATTACTATTAACATGACTTTAAAAGTGATTATTAAAAGTCAGAAAACCTATCATATATCATGGTTTATGATTGCAGACAGTTGTTAATACATACACAGTGTATAAGAATAAAGATATAAGAATCGATTGTTGTTAGAGAGGGGCTATGATTCATATCTTGGCCACCCAAACGGGGTTATGCATGATTTTTTCACTATAATGCAGGGATGTGATGGGTCTATTCTGTTGAAACATGATGGAAGTGAGAGGATAGCAGAAGTTAGCAAGACACTGAGAGGGTTTGAAGTGGTGGATGATATTAAGGCAGAGTTAGAGAAACAATGCCCCAAGATTGTGTCTTGTGCTGACATTCTCACTGCTGCTGCAAGGGATGCCACTGTTGAGGTAGGTGGGCCTTATTGGGCCGTTCCTTATGGCAGGAAAGATGGGAAGGTGTCCATTGCTGAGGAAGCTAATATGGTGCCTATGGGCCATGAAAACATCACTTCCTTGATTGAGTTTTTCCAATCCAGAGGCATGACAGTGCTTGACTTGGTTGTTCTCTCAGGTAAATAAATAAACTAAATGAAACATTCAAAGTTCAGCTTAATTTCAATGTCTTGAGTCTATTATCTAATCATAGATAGATTGTTAGATGAAAGTAAGATTGTGAGCTTTGTCGTAAATGTTTCTAAAGAAATGTTTAATACAATGTTAAGATTGATTGGTAATGAACAAGAAGGTGAATTGTTAACCTTTTTCATAACATGTTTGGTGAAAGGCAAAAATCTTTACACACAAACTAAAATTAATCTCTTTTTCTAATCCAACATGCATAGTTTGATGCGAATATGCAATCTTATCCAACTGATTATGTTAGGGGCTCATACTATTGGAAGAACATCGTGTGGCTCCATCCAAAATAGGCTATACAATTACCAAGGAACAGGAAAACCAGACCCAACCATAGATCCCAAGTATTTGAACTTCTTGCAAAGGAAGTGTAGATGGGCCTCAGAGTATGTGGATCTTGATGCTACAACACCAAAGAACTTTGACAATGTGTACTACATAAATCTCAAGAAGAAAATGGGGTTGTTATCCACAGATCAATTTCTATACTCAGATCCAAGGACTGCACCTCTTGTTTCAGCATTGACTGCCACACATTCTGTTTTTGAACACCAATTTGCAGTATCCATGGGAAAGCTTGGCATTGTCGATGTTATCACGGACCAAGATGAAGGAGAAATCAGAACCAATTGCAATTTTGTTAATGCTTATTGATTTACTCTATCTTTGCTTCCAAATTCCAATGATTTTTATTATTTCATTTCTACTTGGGATTTGTTACCCCAGATTCTCATTCCTGCATGCCAATACTTTCAATTGTTACATCAATTAATATGCACTTTTCTTTACGTTTTCTTTTCCTTATCTTCCATCTCGTTGACTAATTTTTTTTTTTTCTTTCTTTCAGTCATGGCGTGTTTTTAAAATGAATAATGATACTTATACACATCAATATAATTGATAAGATACAATAATTTTATATAAAAAAATATAATTTATGAAAGAGATATATAAAATATAAATGATCACTAACTATCACAGTGGTAAAAGAAATAAAAAAGGTCATTTCAATATAGTGGCCATTTTCAATAGAAAAAAATAAATAAATTATAACATCAATAACTTAAAAATCATAATAATTTTAATGTAATAAATTAATAAAATTATAATTATACCCTTTTATTAATTATTGTGATGGTTTATAATAGTCAGTACATTTTTTAATTTTTAATTTTATAATTTCTGTAAATTATTAAAATATAATAATTTAAATTTTATATAATAGTGGTTCAAAACAGTCACTTTTATGAACAACTGATACTTATAAATTTGTAATGTATACAATGTTGTTAATTTCACCTGGAACTGGAGCAATCTAAAAATAGAAATAAAATAGAACTTTTGAATAATAAATAGATTAAATTGAAAAAAATTAATTAGGGAGACCAAATTCAGTTTCCAAATTTACAATAGTAACACAGTTCATTTTCATTAGAAGATAAAAAAGAAAAAAATAAAATTGATTTCAAAAATATTAAATTAAACTTTTCATAAATTGAACAAAATAATTAATATAAAATTTTCAAGTCAGTAATTTACATAATAAAAAATTGCAAGAACTTCTTTGAGTAGTTTGAATATTACACCATTAATATTGTTGGTATGAAGTTGCAAGACAATAATGGTGGAATAATTTGACAACCACATTATTTTTTTTTCTTAAAAAAAAATACTTCTTATTGAGAACACAGTTCTTATCGTAGTCATTTATTTCATTTATATTCATCTAAAATAGTTTAAAAAAAAGTTTTTGAATAATTTTTTTTAACTTATTTTTAGAAACAATTTTTTAAAATTGATATGTAAAATTGTTTTTAAAACACTAAAGTTTCCACCTCTGTATATTTTAACCCCTATATTCCTTGTCGATACTTTTGCTTTATCTAATGGAAAGGTTTAGAAAATTTTTACCCTTAATTGTATATATTTTTGTTTTTAATACAAAAGGGTCACTTTATTTATTTCGTTTTCTGTTTTTAAATGATTATGAAAAAATATTGAAAAATAATTTCTTTATATAAATATTTAAAAACATGAAATAGACTAAAAACAATGCAGTAATTTTATAATTAATAATTAAAAAAAAACAAGATAGACCAACACCTGTAATAATTTGAATGAAGTTTAACTATGTTCAAATTTAATTGTTAATTTATTTAATCAAAATAAATATATATTAAGTCTGAGTATAAGGTATAGTGCACATTAAATAAATTTATTAAATATTAACTAATTTAGAGACAAAAAATTTTATTCAATATATTAATTAAGTTAGAATTTATTTTAACTAAATTGGTCTTTAGTTATAAAATTTTAACTATTAATAAAATAGATTCTATTTTAATAATTTAGAAATTAATTTAACTAAAATAGTTTCTAATATAATTATTATAATGATTTTTTTTTATCTCTAAATTAGTCGATATTTAATAATTTTGAATAAAAAATATTAAATAACAGTTAGAAATTCACTATATTTAGAACATTCAATCAAGCAAACTTGCTTTGAGTAAAAAAACTTGTGAAAAATCAAAATAGCATGTTTTTAAGAGAGTCCTTATCAATATACTTTGTTTTTTGATGGTGAAAACTACCTTTTAGTTTTCTGAGGTGTCAAGCACAAAAGTTTAATACTGCTAATTAAAGTTTAGCAATAAGCACAAATAAACCAACTTAGATACTGTTTGATTTAATTAATAATAAAAAACTCATTCAACGCTTGATATAAAACACGCATGATTCATTGATGGGGCACAATAATATGATGGCGATTCTGAAAAGCATCAATTATATATCTAAACATAATGATGACTTGAAGTAGAATCCCACATACAAAGATCTTCACGTTGAATGATTGGTACGTGATCAAGTTTTCAGCGTCAAACAATATATTGCACTTATCTTCTTTGAAGCCCTAGCTAGTAATCAAAACTAACCCTCTGTAAATGGTTCAAAAAGAAGAAAAAAATATCAATGAAAAATGAAAACCTGTAAAGTCACGAATATTTTCTGATAAGTTTGGACCAAACTTAATGCACAAGAACACTGAAGATGGTGTGTCATGATTGCAATAGTGGTTTATCATTATAGCATTCTCTACTTAGACCTTGCAGTTGATCAGGGACATGCATGAATGGTTGTGGCAGTTTCTTTTTGTGGCATATCTTGTATTTTGTGCAATCTGCTTCTCTTGCAGAAGCAGATACATATCATGATGTTCATCGTTTTGGCACCATCTCATCTCATGCTGTTTTGGGGAGTTCATAGTTAAGTGTGATGCAGAAGAAGTTGGTCATGTTCATGTAAAAGGGAATGCAGCATCACCAACCATGCAAAATTGAAATCATGAAAAACCTAAGAATCTTAGGTAAGTAAAACGTTAGAGTAGAGTATTTGAATATTTGACCATGAAATGCTTTAGAAAGGTAAACAAGTTTCAGATTCCAAAAGGAGTTCCATTCAGAGGAAGATAGGAGAATAATTTTCTTAAAAAGTTGTGTATACTAGTCATACATAATCATATTAGTTATCAATCTGAAAAAGGCATAAACTAAATGGAATTTAGAAGGAAAACCAAAACCACAAACAGGTTTTAATCATATATCCGCTGCATGAATAAAATCAAAACCTCACATTTCTTAAGATAATAATATTGAGAGATTTATCGTACTGTTGACAGATTTATCTCATGATCATCAAAATGGATGTATGGCAAACGAAACCATGGAGACTTGATTGGACACCATAAAGTGAAATTTAATCATAAAGCATTAATCTAAAACTCAATTAAACAAATCATGGAGTTGAAAACAAAACAACAAGCCACAAATGAAAAGTAGAATTCAGAAGAGATTGTGGAAGAAGTGGAGGAGAAAGCACAAAAGCTCTCCATTGAAACTCCAAATCCATTTCTAGAGCATAACTCCATTGAAGATCTCCATGAACTCAACTCTAACTTTACTCTACGGATGCACAAAGATAAAGAAAAGTAAGAGAAAACTACACAAAAGTATTGTCACAAGAAGCAACAAATAAAAACATGATTTTGTCTTCACTTTTGGTTTTAAGGAGTCTCATCATCGCTTTATCAATTAGCCACTTTAATTTGTTACCAACATTCAAACCAAATGCTTTATGTAGAGAATGTTTGTCAAACCAAAAAGATAACTAAAGAACTGCTTCCTGCTTTCACAAAAGCAATCAAAGTGCTTTCACAGCTTTCCTTTTACCCACTCTCTACTTTATTCTCATATTTTTACTATGACTACTACCTAATAATAATAATTATCATTATAATTGTTTCAATTATAAAAGAATGAAAAATTTATTATAATATCCTAGAAAGATTCTAACTTAGCAAATATAAACATGTCTAACATAAAATATAGCTTCTCAATTCCTATATAAACTTTTATATATTATTACTCAATTCACTTTAGTAATAAGAGTTAGGAATTAATTCTTTATTTTTATTATCATTTTTTATAATTTAATAATCTAATACAATAACTTATTTTAACTATTAAGTTAAAAAAAAAATGAAATAAAGAATAATTTTTTTAAGGTACATAGATCTCATTTACTGTTATCATCACACTTTTGTTTTCCCTTCTCATTATGTTCTGCTCTGATCGTGAAAAAAAGAGGGAGGAAAATATATGCCTCGTAAATCGTAATCGATTTAATATACTATATTCTTTAGAATCTTAGTAAACTCATCAGTGAATTAAAATGTATGAACAAAAGGGGTTGGAAAACCATTGTGTAGCAGACCAAAATTTCAAATATAAATTAAAAAGAATATGAATTGTTTAGTATTGATTTGCCAAAAAGTAGTATGAAACATTTATGCACTATTAACATGCATTCTCGAAGTCATTAAATAATTTTTATACATCATCCATTTTACAACGTTTCTAACTAACAAAATTCCTTAGTCAGCAATGTTTTACAACATATACCAAAGGAATGGTATACATGTGCATGACATATATACGTCTCAAAAGCATTATACATTTTACTTTTCTAAATAAGCTTCACTTTTGTTGTTCTTTTTTCATGCATATGTATTACTTTTTCACCCCTTTTACTACCCTTTTCAAATTTATTAGCCAAAGGGCAACAATAGAAGGTCCAAATGAGATGTTTTTCTTTTTCCAACCCTTCCAAGCTGACAATGTAAAACTCCCTGGTGGGAACTAACACAGGCCTCTAATAAAGTTGGCTTGTTATAACAGTTCTACATGCTATAGCACCAAAAAGAAAGAAAACTGTTTCTTATTAAATCCCCTTCTTTGAAATTTATTTCATGGATAATACTCCGCCAAGACACAAATTCATAAATAATGTGTTCCTAGACATTAAAACACTGTTAAATTTCCCACCAATGTCATGTTGGGAAAATTGACTTATGCGATCATTAAATTTGGACTTAAAATCTATCTCAATTTGATAACATCTTTCTGTAAAATGAAGAATTTGAAGTTTCATAAAAACTACTTGAACATTATGAAATTAAGAATAGCCTAATATTACACACCTCACACAAGATAACAGTATATCTCTAGTTATATTTATCTCTTCATATATTTAGAGTAAGAGTTAAGAGAGTAACTCTCTGTTGTTTGAAGTAAGGTGTACAAATTGTTGTAATCTTCTTACATATCGTTACATGTGTTTTCCTTATTAAGAAAATCTTTCTACGCCTAGTATTAAAGATAATGAATTATGATGACAGACTAAGATGTTTACAATTAATCCTCTAACCAAAGAGCACATTTAATAGTTAACAATTGATTTCTTCCTAATTATTGATATTACTTCTTTATCTTGTCCTTTTTGTGTGTGGCATGTGAGTCTTTTCCCACACAATTCAAACGTTTCTTTAACTCAATAGTGTGACTGTGTACTGATACCGTGTGTGGGGGCTCTCTTTTTGTTTCTGACCGCGCGCTTCCTGTCTTATAGATCGTGATTCGTGACCAACCTAACCAAGTTTTCTCCCTTTAGAGTCTTGTGTTTCACACACTTTTTTCTCAAGGAAAAAAGTTACACCCTATGGATCCCACTTTTGGCTCATTCTATAGTGCTATTTTTAACAATTATACTCCTCTTATAATTAATTACTTCACTTATTCCACCTAATGGATAACTATTATTTTTCTCTATGTGTGAATGAAGATAGCGACAACCAGAGATTAGTTCAAGACAGTATATAGAAACAGCTAGAGATTAGTCTTTTCCAAACAGATAAAAATCACCAAAATATATATTATTTGTTTTAATAAACTTTTCTTTTTGCATTGAACTATGTGTTTAAGTTATTTATCAATCATGACAGACTTATGAAAAATAATTCTCTTCATTCAATTAGAAAACCTTTATATAAATATTTAATGCAGTTATAAATATATTTACAGATGAATCTTCATTCCTTGCTCAATATAGGACAGAACATATTGATAAAGCTATGTAATGTACCTAACAATCAATTAACACACCGTCAAAGAGGCTCACCAATCTTCCCTTTCCTCTTTTCATATTTCAGGAGACTCTCTCTCTCTTTCTATGAGTTGAACTTCTTTATCATTACAATATATACAACAAAACCCTACAACTTAGATATCTTCTGCAGAAAACTTACTTTCCTTGTCATTTCCAGCTTTAAAAATTTTCACATACAATATACTTTCAACCCTTGTCCCTTCTATTTTGTTTGTTGTCAACCTAATAAGCTGCTTACACTTCTTGGATGATTTGCAGAAGGCACTGCGTTTTGCATGGCTGGTGATGCAGCTTTTCCCTCTACCACTTGCATGATGATCCTCTTCTTCTCTTTGCTCTTGGCCTTTCATTTTGCTATGGCCGTCCCTGAACGCAGCTTATCCACTTCAACTTCCATAAAAGATGGTGCAAAGAAGAGAAACAACATGGTAGCAGCTTCAGCTAGAGAAGGAAACTCACAAAATCTCAAGAAGAAAATCACACCAAAACAAACTACCAAACAAGATCTCTCGAAGGACCCTGAAAGAGGAAGATCTCGTGCTCCAAGGCCTTCAATGGAATGGAAAAACAAGATCTTCAATGCTAATGAACATGAAGTGCCTAGTGGTCCAAACCCCATTTCAAACAGGTAAATACTCAACATCAGGGTAGAACCCCCGAGATAAAAATTAAGATTAAACCTAGAGGTTTGCGGTTTGAGGTTGTTTATGTTGTCTTCCTAGTTATTTATTACTACTAGTTATTTATTACTATTATTATTTTGTTGTTCATTTTTGTCCATTTTCTGAGAATTGAATTGGAGTGTTAGCTAGTTAGGGATTCAAAACATGCAGTTTGATTTGTGAGTGCAGTTCTGTTCATATTGTTGTCATGAAACTGAACCACACGTACCAATCATTTAAACACGAGGATATGTGTACATGAGATTCTACTTCTAGTCATCATGATGTTCATATGTATATATATGGTTGCTTTTTTTCTGAATGATCATCATATTTTTTCCCCTTTTTACTCTAAAAACAACCTTCTTTACAATTTTCTCAATTACATATTATTTTTATCAACCAAATCTACAGCTAATAATTTTATCTTCGCTAGATCATCTTATAAGTAGTCTTTACAAGGCTAAACTACAATTGCTGAATTAGTAAATTGAGTGCACGATGTATACAAACTAAATAATGTGATGCATATAAAATTGTATTTGGTAGCTTGTGAGAAATGAAAATTTTGATCAATGAAAAATTAAATTGATTTTTTTTTTAGTGACTTATATATTGAAAACAAGAAGGTAATTGGAGGAATAAAAGTCACTATTTTTTAGAACTAAAATTTGTTTGATGGGAAGGCTAGTTTTTGACATCTTCTACTTGAAAAAGGGTATCCAACCCTTTCTATTTTTAGGTCTGTGGATGTATTATGTATTGGACGGAAACTAATATTTGAGACATTGAACTGGAACTGCCGATACACCTAACAAATTTACTGATAAAAAATATGGGAAAATATACAGTTAAGATACCCTTTACTGATTTTAGAGGGTTTCTATGAATCTTCCTATTGGTCACTAATATATTCCAAACAATAAAAGTGGACATAATGATTCAACTTACAATGAAGGTGAGTTTTGATTGCGTCCAGGAATTGCTTATTGCACACAATAATGAAAGGGGAATTGGGGTTAAAAAAAGTATACAGAAACATCCCTCATTCACCATTGTTTTGCGTGAAAAAGTTGCACGGATTTGTCATGCAAAGCAGTGTTTGAAGGGTCAATATCTTTCATTCTCAATTACCTAAAATATCCTCATCATTTTCTCTACACTCCCATGGTATCCTTTGTCCCTTTCCTTTAAAAAACAAACCATTACAGGATGTCATGACTCAATTTTTAAATGAATAAATCCAGTGTCTCTTTCCTCTTGATGGTACCCTCTTGTTTTGTTTATCACATCACATGAAACTGCCAAACTGATTTGGACAATTGGACTAGCTAATTATTGGGTCCTTTTTTCTGAGCTCATGATTCATTTAATTAACTAATCTGTTTATTGAAATTTTGGGAAGCTCTATTGGTAGCTATCTGCATTGATCATGATTTCAAATTTTGGGATAAAGCTACCAAGATTCCTTAGAACTCATTAATCATCATAAATTATCTTTTAGCATTTTATGGAATGAAAAAAATTCACATTGCAAACACATGATGGAGTACCACTTGCCAAATTCATTGTTAGGTTTAACTGGTGTCACTCACACCCAAAGAAATTAACATTTTTCACTGCATTCCTGTCCCATCACATTATTTAATCTTTTGTTTTATCTTGAAACATTGAACATGCATGTAGGTACATGTTAGAGAACCAAGCTAAAAGAGATATGGGGGTAGGCTCTGGGACATGATTTTGCCTTCACTTTTGTTTTGAAGGGGTCTTGTCGCTTTAGTTAGTTGCTTTAATTTGTTACCAAGACTCAACCCAAAAGCTTTGTGGTAAGCGATTATGGCTATGGCTAGAGAATGTTTGTCAAACAAAAATATGTCAAAAGAACTGTTATCTTGCTTTGACAAAAGCTATCAAAGTGCCTTGACAGCTTTCCCTTTTCATGACTGTTTTCTTTATTTGGTTACTTAGATTTTCTTTTTAATTATTCCTCATCTTCATTCAAGATTTTATCAGTTTCTTTTTCTTTTCGGTTCTGATTTCTGAAAAGGGTAAATTTTGTGTTGTTTCATTTTTCTTCCAAAAATAAATGTTACTGACATGTCAATCTGCAAAATAATATATAGATTCAGATAGATAGAGGGTAGAGTGATTTTCTTTATCATTCATTTATAATTAGGTTATATTAATCTAAAAGGAAAGCTTTTTATAAAAAAATAAATAAATTACATTTCTTTTTGTTATATTTTGTTACGACTAACTATTATGTTGTTGTTATCAGTTTTGTGACATTTATAAATAAAACGACTTTATGAACATTCCTACTATCAACATCATAACTTCATCTAAAAAACAATTTTGAGAGTGAAATATAGTGTAATAAGTGTTAAGAGGCTCGTTCATGTCAATGAAATTGATTACAAATAATGTTGAGATAAGGATCAATCTCATATTCGTAACCTATAGAATGAATAAAATAAGAAAACACCACACACATTGCACAGCAGAGAAGAGAAGAGAAAGAATAAACTTGAACTCACTCAAATTAATTTTGATTCCCAATTGAATTACATGCATGCAGTTGTGTACATGACTTTAATTTTATAGACAAAATAAAAAACATTTAAACACTAAATATAGACATATCAGAGAAGTAACTTAATTTAATTTGTGTAGTTAACACAAAATGACGATGCCTGTTATATGTTAATGCAAGTGTCATCAGAGACATTTACAACTGCTGAAATTAATTTGTCATGAGACATTTGTACGGATGAAAACCAGCATGTAGTCAAGTTCCACAGAGCCATAATCGAACCTGAGGAAAGGTTGCTAGATAATCTGAATGCATGTCCATAAAAACACTTGATATTGTGGCTAAACACCAAACTTTGAGTTTATTTCAACTAAGACAGAAAAATGATATAACTTTCAACAAAAAAATGATATTTTAACGACCAAACTAAAACACATTTTGTCCATCTCAAGAGGAATGAGCAGATTTTAACATTTATTTTTTATATAATCAACATATATCTGTGGAAGATAATTCATATATTATAAATTAGTTTTGAGGAAATTTTTGGTACAAAGGTTTTGAGGTTTGATTAAAGCTGAATCTGAAATTCAAAACTTCATATCTAAAAAAATTGTCTTAACTGCTCAATAGTATAAAACATTAGGAGAAGAGGTTTTACAGTCCATTCATGAAAAAGAAAAGTTGTCTCTGAAAAATAATAGAGTAGATGTGTTCAGAGTATATTTAAAAAAATAATTTATGGAGTAGACCAACTGCTAAAGGATGTTTATGTTTTTTAAGTATCAGTAGGAATTCAAAAAGAATAGAGCCTTTAACTAATGAATGCTAATGTGGTTTTAAAGTTGAAATTGAATTAATATGAAATTATCTTCACTTAAACCATGCAATACTAGGATTAGAGTAAGTAACCTTCTTTTTCTAGCCATAAAATTAAAATTCTAAATCTTGTTTAAACAGTCATTTTTACATATATATATTTTTACTCCATATTTGAAATAAGTTTGTTTTTATCCTTACATTTAAAACTCGGCTTTCCAGCCTCTAAAATTTGAAAAGGAAAAAAAAATTAATCTTTCTATCTAAACAACGTAACTAGTAGATTACAAATTATTTGTATGATAACCTAATTTAGTTTTTTTTTTTTTTTTTTTTTTTTTGTTAAACACGCAATGGCGTTTCCCTTTAAAAAATTATTTGAATCGTACTTATAAGAACATGTTTAGAGAAACAAACTAAGACACGTTGACCAAAAAATATATTAAATATGAAGAGAAAAATTTGCAACAAATTAGGAATCAAACTTATTTAGACCTACAAGAAATATTAAGAGATTACAGTTTAAAAATTACATGTTTACCCAAACTTGATTTTTGAAAGAGAAAAAAAAAAAACAGAAGCCTGTTGAAGATATCTTCTCCATTATTTAGATTTTCTTATACGACTGCCACCGTATGACTATAATAATTCATAACTTCGTCCAAGGATGTCGATATATGAATTTATTACGTTATATTTACGCATTTCTTCGAAACTTATTAAAATAATCAATTTTCACTCCTTGTTCATTTATATTCAAAACAAATAACATTGTTACTGCATTTTATTTCAATAAAATTTGCACAAGTTACTCCACCACGTTTCATCTCATTGTATAAATACTACATATATTATTCAACCCAATTGTTTTCAATATTTAAAAGCACAACAAAAATTGAGAGATTTTTTCTAAAAAAATTAACAATACCATAATGGCCGCTAACACAAATAAAATAAGGCTGGCAAGCATATGATGGTTCTCAAAGTAGAGGCACAACGTCAACTAGAAACTTTTGATGCAAAAAAGCCATACCCAGCACAATGCTTTTCTTTTTCTGTTTGGCTTACCTTTCCTAGTGTATGTTACTAATAAACAGCACTACTTCTACCAAGTATTGGTCATCTCTGCTATGTTACTGCTAGTATCAGCTTTAATCCCCAAAAGAGCCTTTTAACAGGGATTTTTTGCCATGTGAGTACATATCTACAAGCTATCTGTTTACTCTCCTCATACAAAAGACCTAGGCCACCCCGATTCAGAAAGGACCTATTTTCCATTTTCCGTAGGGCATTAGCAAACAGACTATAACTTTACAAAGTTTTGATCGGGTATTGTGGCATCTAGTGAGTTAAATATGAGCTATCGTTCACGTGAGCATAGGGTAGCTCAGAAGCAGCTTCAGGTTCTGTAGCTGCGGGACCATTCACACTCATAACCAGCGCATAAAAAACAGTCCTTCGTGTGATCCAAGCCATGCACCGTGAGACGAGGAGTCACGCTTGTATTGGTTTTCCTCTTCTGCTTTACAAACCAAGCAACCAACTTGAAAATTAGCAACCAGCGGACAAACAAAATATAGTAGAATTTATAAAATTGAAAGCACAAAAGCTAAGAGCTTATCGTGCTCACTACTTCTATGTGTTTTATAGCACATGGTGGAGAGAATTGAATCAGAGAACTTGTCCTCAAAGAGCAGTTCACCAGACTTGAGACTCCATAACCGTAGTTTGCAATCCTCTCCACCTGAAATGACAGACAAAATATTCAGACTCTAGAATGCTCTAAATAAATATCATCACTTAAACAACACCCACCTGACATAACAAATCTCTCAGCTGGATCGACACCAATCTGAATACGAGTATGAGAATTCACATGCCCTTCATAGCATTGAACAGCACCCCTCTGGAGTAGACGATGATCATAAAGCCTCATCTGAAAAGGAAAGGAACATATATGATTAAGTAATTTGTCTCGTGAGATGCAGACTGCAAGAAATGGTGGCAACCAAGACGATATAATCAACAGTCTCATTCATTATCTTCTAAGTTCTGGTAACATATATATTGCCTTCATTGGTCATTAAATTATATCACTATATTATCTAGGTGATGCAAGACCTCGAGGATAAAGTAAAGATAATCTCCCATGAAAAAGGAAATTCAATTAAACAGGATTTATTACACTTAGTTTGTGTAAACAAAGGATTTCTCCAGACAAATTTCTCCTAAACACTTCTAAAAGAGAAAAATAAGAAAAAATGAATTGAAATTCTCCGGAAACTAAAATTAGCTTATTCATAAGTTAACTTGTAGAAGCTTTTTTATATAATTTATCTGAATTCTTTTTTCAACTTGTACATAAACTAAAAACTTATTTTATTTTTTTCTCATTTTTTTTCCTAGAAGTGTACTTGGAGAAGTCTGTCTAAAAATAACCTAAATGCGAATAGTTTTTATTTTCAATTTAAATAGGAGGAATAAATTCATGCAACTATGAGAGGCTGCTGCGAATTTTTGGTATTATATGACACTTAAGAGCAGACATAAGTGATATAGGTAATAATTTGCCTGGAGTGTACTAACCGATCCATCCATTGAGCTTGCTACAAAGTACTGCTCATCAAACTGAAGTGACACCAAACTATTGTCAAACCCACAATAAATTACAGAAAATAGTCAGTCAAATCAATAATATTCAAATGAAGATACATGTCATGTAAACTGACAGGGAAAAGGACGACTAACGAGGATATAGATGAAGGCATCCTAATTGTATGAGAAGGATATATGTCTCCTTTGAGCTGCAATCGGGGTGAAGCATAAGCACGTCAACAATAGATTAAGCTAATAGTGTAATGAGAATCATAAGAAACAGGAGAACAGATTTTGAACATGACACAAGAAAAAATGAGTAACATCAAATCAGAAATTTGTACAGGAACTCACGGTTTCACATAGAACAGAATGAAGTACTAAAGGATGGTAATAAATAAATAGTGAACAAAAGTTCAATTTTTAGAACAAGTAAATGGGAAAACTATTAAAATATATGAAAGTCATTCAGTGTTAGAAGAACTTGTTTACAAAGATATAGCTCATTCAATCTTACCTAAATTGTAATTTAGCCTATACTATTTTAATTGATCATTCCTCACTTTTAATGTTTTATCAACAGAATTCAAAATTTTACTAAACCTTTGATATCATCAAAACAAAATAGTCATGTACCATGATAACTATCAATTAATTAATTATTTTAGCCTAACGACGTCAAAGACATGTGACAAGTCCTTGCTATTCAAAGACAGAATTTAAATAAATTCCTCAACTACTCTACTGGCAAAGTGCCAATTACAATTCCTTCTAAACCTAAGAGATTCATTTTTTTTTTTTTAAAAAAAGGCTACAGTGAGATAATGTAAAAATCGGATGCTGTGAAACTACTACTGTCAGGATGAATTCAAAAGTTCAAGATAAAATCCTGTTTGAATATGGAAAGATGACAAAATTTTATATTTATACAACTAGAATGCATTACTAAACAAGTACTCTGAAATTACATATTACGTACTAAATATAAATTATATGATTATTTTGTCAATCATTAATATATTAAGGAGCGAAGTTTGAGCACATTTATAGAACACCTTAATTGTTTATGTCAGTAGACTGGAAAGAAGCTTTGAAAGTATTGGCAAGCATATATCATTTGGCGCACACTGGGAAATCCTAGTATCACGTTTTTCTCTTCATTAGATTTTCTTACGGTTTTTACCCCATAATTTTTAAATCAAGGTTTACATCATCTATTTTGAACCTCTCTACAATATTTTATCAAGATATATTTTGCTTGTTTCTTGAAATCTTCAGCCTCTCTAGCCTCAACTCAATTCTAATTTCCAAAACAAAGAAATTACCTTGAACCATTGTTTTTTAAAATCTCCAACTCCCATATCTGAAGTATTAGGTATCCGATGGGTAATAAGTCTATCAGAAAGCCTTTCTCTTTTCTCACGAAAATCTGCAGTGACAATTGCCCCATTTCTAAGCCCACATAAAATCACATTTCCCTGCAACAAAAATAAGAAAATATATTGTGAATAATAACCACATAATATGAACAAAGGATGTGTTGTGGTGATTTTGTAGGACAATGAGAAAACAAAAAATTACAGTAATAAACATATATCACATTTCATCCTACATAAAATATTTTCTTTTAAAGACAGAAAAGAAGGAATAAAAATAACCAGAGGATAATATATTTTCCTGAACAAAGAAAATAGAAAAGAACACAATGAAACAAATAAATAAGATCATCAGTGTAATAATACTCTCAAGTCTCTCAGACGAACTAACTAAAGAAATTTTATTGAAGACAGGAAAGGTATAGAAGTAAACCAGAGGATAAGATATTTCCCAGGGCAAAAAAATTAGAATGGAACACAAACAAACAAATAAATAAATATGATCATCAGTGTCATAAAACTCCGAAGTGTAACTGATTCCAATTGACTCCCCCAGATGTTGAATTGCTGACAGCTGTTACAATCATTATTCCTACAAAAGAAACACAACTGACCCTGTTGACTCTTACTTCCCTTTAGATTTTGCCTAATACATACCCTTTAAACTAATGGGTGAAAATTGTAGACACTGTAAACAAGAAAAGGTGGAGCATAATGTTTAATTTTTTGCCAGATAAGTAAACTGAATGCTAGTCTCCATGTTTCTCATCTAGAGATAAGACCAACCAAAATATAATAACAAGTAGGACTCATACTTTCCGTAAACCTCTGATGGAAAGTTACTGTAGGACATTACCTTTTACGTAAATGCAGTGCCTAGTTTCTAAAAATAGATTCCTTTTTTCCATCATAAAGATAGCATTTCCTTTTGAACCTCATGATAACTTCTTTTTCAAAATGAGCAATAAACAATTAAATAACTGTGATTTTATTTCAAGTGTATTCAATAAGAACAGTGCAAGTGATTGATGACATGGAATAGTACAAGTAACAGCAGTTACGTACACTAGGGAAATTTTCAGTGTTCAGATTCATCGATTTAATAATTAAATCTACAAACACATTTTCATTTATGAAGACATGACAAAAAATTCATATTTTCTTCAATTTAATGATTTATTTGAATGAACGAAAATTTCCAGGGCAGTATTTTATTAAGAATAACTTGCTATTTTTAAAAATTAAAAAGGGATAACTTACAGAATTAACAATCTGTTGTGCAAAAACATCGCTTTTACAATGTAAAAACCATGATGTCGTCCCTGTTTCGAGGTCAATTGAAGCACCTCCTAAATTTGAACCTAATAAAGAGAGATAGAACACCAATAAATATCTTACAAAAATTAGATATAAAATTACAATGGAGGAAACTGTAATGTCCAAAAGTTTGTTCAGATATATCTTATGGAAGAAGAGGGTATATATCACAACTGTTCTGTTCATGGAAACTATGATGACTTAATAAACCATCCCCTATATGGCACATGTTTTATTATCTTAATGTGACAAACAGATGCAAAATGAAGACAAGAGACAGAAACAAAACAAAACAGATTATTCACAGCCATATTGATACTGGCTAGACTACATCATTATATGTAGCTAAATTTTATAAGCTAAAAATCAACAGTAGCTGTATCTAAATAGAACATTATTTGGCATAAAGCATGTGCCTGCTGCATATATGTGTGTGTGAGAAAAAATGAAGAGGGCAAAATGTAACTTGCCAATTACAGCACGATGTCTATTATAATCATATTCTGCTGTCCAAAGGGTACATCTGAAAGAAGCGATTTCCTCAAGTCCGCTCCATGTGTTAAGTATACCTGGTCCAAGATTTAATGGTTCAACAAGACCCAAAGTATAAACTGATCCACCTGATGTTTCTGATCCCAAAGTAGTAAATCTATGCTCATGTTAAGATCTTTCAATTCAACATCAATTTTAATAAAAATAAATTAAATATATTGTTCCAATAATGGTGATAGGATACAACATGTCAAATACCTTCTAATCTTGGTAATCCAATCTCACATGGATGATTGAGATTAGAAATTACTTGAAGGTCATATGACTAAATGTTCAAATGTTGACCATATATATTTACATGACTATATAATGTTTACAGAGGAATAACTAAAACAATAAAAAAGGATACAAAACACGTCCAACAGGACCATCATTCACTGTGTGAGGAGAGAACTTTGGACCCAATCTTATACAAGATATTCTGGAGGGCATGAGCAGTGCAGCTCGATTAGGTCTGAAAACTGGCTTATGCACTTCGTTATGCTCAAACGTCTTCCCTTCAACATAATTCCTCACACAATCTGCCCTCCATTTTGTCCCATCATCAATATATTGCCCAACCCCTCCAACTTCAGAAAAACTGCAAACACAAATTTCAGAAACATTTGGCAAATAGTAATCCACATTATACATCAATGTTAACAAGAATCAAACAAAGAATAATCAACATCTAGGTTCAAATGCAACCAGTGTGTCCCAATCAGTTATTATGATCATCAAAGTACTGATTCCAAAATTAGGCCCCTAAAAAAGCCCTACTGTATAGTTTCAACACAGTGTGTTCCAATCTAGTTTCAACACATAGCACTGCTATAGCGGAACCATTTAAAACCCTTACCTCCTACTTAACTTTATCATGATTTTACACATGAAGTGAAGAGGATATATAATTTCTCTATCTCTATGATAACGACATGGGATCTTTTATTTTGCACTTATTGATCTAATTGACTATAGACTTAATTTCTGCTTTCTGTTTAAACTTTTTACTTGAAAGAACATATCTGACTTTACAGGCACAAATATTTTTGTACATTAAATATGCTAGCAACACACTCTTTCAAAAACTCTACCATTTCTGAAATTAAGCGGGTCTCACTCCGTATTGAATGAGGATGATTCCTAATTTTGTGATTCCAAATATATTTTAGTAAGATTAAATGTTGAACTTTACAATAAAAAGTTTACACTTTGATATAAGGGCAATGGTTGGCAAAACTATATTATTTTACTTAATATATTTTGATGGGATCATAAAACAATAAAAAGAAGAACCCTCAATTTAGCCTAGATAAAAGTTAGAAACCAATGATAAGACATATTTATATTCATTTCACAATTCATAAATGACAAAGTTTAATTACAAATGTTAGAGAATAAAGATTCTCCTAATCATGCAATTAAATTACAGAATGTAAAGCAAGCAACCATAAAATGTGCACACACTCAGACACACTAGTTACCTCATGGAGCCATTTATGCTGCCTATCAACAAAACATCAGTTTCAGTTTGCCCCTGCAACGTCTGCACATCGACACGCAAGTGTTCCAAAGCACACGCACCCATCTTATCAGTTCCCTGGTATCTCCAGACCTGCAAATTGAATCTTTAGATTGGATCAAAACTCGAAAATCTGAACCACATGGAAAATGAATCGAAAACCATTCGCACCACAGGTTTAGATGCTTGAATTTTCCAGTACTCCTCGGCAAAGTCATATTTGCAAGAGTGAGAGTCGACGACATGGCGACCATCCAACTCCCTAGCCTGAAGCAGCTTAGACAAGGTTCTGTTTCTAAGCTTCCCACAACAACTCCTACCACTCTCCTGTAACTAAAATCATTCACATTTTAAGTTCAATTTTCAAGCACTCAAGTAAACCCTAATAAGACATACAATGCATTATTAAGATTTTACAAACATTACATATACCTCATTGGAAGGGGTTTGGGGTGTCTTAAGGGTGGGCTTAGAAGAAGAGCCAGGAATGGGGCCTTTGATGGGGAAATACCTGTTCTTCTCAGGATCATAATAAAACCCCGGAAGCTCTGTCACAAAAAACACAATTACTCCATTATCATCAATAATTCACTATGAATTGCGATAAAAACAAACTTAAAGTGAATGCCATTGGAACGAATTGATTAACCTCGTGGTGGTGCCATATATGCGTCGCTGCAGAATCAGAGAAAAAAAACACCGAAGAGCGTAAAGTTTGGGAATGAGTGAGAGAGAATAACAACGTTACCACCGATTTTAAGCGGCGAAAAAAGTTTGCAGCTTCACTCTCTGAATCCCCTTTGGTTTTGGTTTTGGTTTCGGTTTTTTAAGCTTTTAAATGTAACCGTAAATTATAATCTAGTTATCTTTTATAATATAAAAAATTTGATTTTTTTTAAATGGTTTATCTTTACATGTGATTTTATCTTTTTTTTTTTAGTTTTAAATTTGTGGAGATTTTAGTCCTCCTGTTTTAAACATTTAAAATTCAAATCTAATAATTAATTTTGCATATATTTATTTATTATATTTTATATTTTTATTAATTAATTAAATTATTTCAAAATATTTATTATTGTTTTGTCTAGAAAAAAAAAGAGTTTGGATTGATGTCTGTTGTGCTAATATTGTTTAGGATTAATTTTCATGTTCGATGTGTTATTCACTTTAAAATTCTAATCTATCACGTTTTTTTTTTTTTCTTAAAAGATAGATTAATAAAAGATGATGAATATAAATTACCTTTAACATCAACTCCTAAACGATGCAAGACTCATGAACATAATCTCCAGTTGAGGACTAAGGCATATGAGTGAAGTAAGATTATGTTCTCGACTCTATTATAGACATCAAATGTTATTACTTAATTTGAAGGAGGCATTCAAACTTCTCTCCAACGTGTTGAGTATATGAATGAGAGTGAAATAAAGTATGAATGAGAGTGAAATAAAGTGTGAATGAATTGAGTGAGAGAAATGAGATTAGATATGTTTATAAAAAGGTGAATTACCTTAACTATCCGAGATAATAAGAATATTTATTTCATCTATTAAGTAGATATTTTAGGATTTCCAAGAATTTAAAAATGAGTTAGTACTCGAGTATCTCGAGTATGACCTATATACTCAGATATTGTTGAGATGTTGAATTATGGATATTGTCAAGAAATTTTATCCAAGTATCTCGAAAATTATAGTTCTCATAAAAGATATCGAAGCTCGGAGTCTCTTGGTATACATATGTAAAGATTGATGAGCTTATATTCTCGATGTTTTACTTTTCCCTTCTTAAGTTATTGACTTATTGTTTTTTTCCTCCCTCTAACAGTGTATGAATGAGGGAAATTTTTGTAATCATGTATAATTTTGTTTCGTTTAATATGTATTTTGAACGATACTTATATATATGACTCTGACACGTTTGCATCTATGTTATTTGTATGTTCACTGTATTTTGGTATATATTATAGTATGTTATTTGTGCATATTTTTTTATTATCTTACTCACTATATGTTAATTCAATATTTAGTCATACAAACAACTTTTGGTCGTACAAACAATTCAGTATTTGTTGTATTAACAACTTGATATTTGGTCGTAGGAATGATTTTGTCATGTTATTTACTAGGGAAAAAATATATATAAATATAACAAATATAAACCAAATTTTCTAATAATGACATAAAATAAATACATAGCAAAATCGATTAATCTTTGCAATCTTAACTAAATGGACTTTAATCCTTGTTATTCTTAGTTAGGTAGATTTTCTTCCTAGTTTTATTCATTTTTCAATTTAAATAACTTTTATATCTTTTATTGACCTCAAATTTTGTTGATAATATTTATTTTAGAAACATAAAAGAATTGAAAATAGAAAATAAAAATATAATTATTTTTTATTTTTTTAATAAAAAAATGAAAAAATAAAAATAATTATATTTTTTAATATTTTATTTTTAAAATTTTTAGAAAGAAAAAATAATTTTTAAAGATCTTTCTTCGAGTACAAGTAACTCTACTAAGAAATTTGTTAAAAAATGTGTCTTCATTAAACGGATAGCTTGATTAACCATGTTATCATCCGTTTTGGTTTTCAAAGTACTTGCTTAATCAGGTAATTGATTTTAACAATGACACTAAAACTTTGAAAGTATGGTCATTGTCTTCTGATCGAGTTTATTAGTGCTAATGCCAACTTTTCTATAATGGAGTATCACCATCTCTTATACAATTCAACTGGTGAAATACTATGGGATTTGTTTCTTTTTATCATTGTATATCAAGATCGAATTGATGGCTGACTTTGTGATTACCATGTAAGGGAAGAGGGTGGAGCCCCGTGGCGGGCACACCAGGGTTGGTAACAATGCAATATCCTTTTTAATGGTTTGGAACATGGCTTCACATTTGTTTATCCAATCAAATTTTCTTGAGTTTCTCGGTAGCTTAAAGAAAGGTTTGACTTTCTCAGCTAGCTTTGGTAAGAACCTGGTTACGGCTGCGAGTTTTTCGTTTAGTTATTGTACTTCTTTTATGTTTGTTGGGTTTTGCATGCTTGATATATGGCATTGCACTTATTTAGATTTGCTTCGATACCCCTTTGAGTAATCATGAATCTGAGAAACTTTCCTTCTCTTGCAAAATACACACTTCTCCGGGTTGAGTCGCATATTATATCTTTGAATTTCATCAAACACCCTTTGTAAGTGAGTAGGGTGGTCGGCTTCATGTTTTGACTTGACCATCATGCCATGTACTTAAACTTCTACAATTTTCCTTATCAATTTTTTGAATATTTAGTCCATGTATGGTTGATAGGTGACTCTAGCATTTTTTAATCCAAAAGATATTATTTTATAGCAGTAATTCACATATTCCATAATGAATGTCATTTTTTCTTCATCCCGTGGATACATTCTTATTTGGTTATAGCTTAAGTAAGCATATAAGTAACTTACGATATTATGTTTGATGCACGGTCGATTAAGCAATCGATGTTCAGCAACATATATGAATCTTTTGGGCAAGCTTTGTTGAGATTTGTATAAACAGTGAACATTTTCTATTTCTTCTTTGCTTTTTTTTTTTTTTTACTAAAACTATGTTGACTAACCACGTAGTGTATGATACTTCTCGAAGGAAGTCGGTTTGCAAAAGCTTGCTAACTTCTTGTTTTACAACTCACCTTCTCTAATTTCCTAACTTAGGTTTTCTTTGAGCTATAGGTCTTACTTCAGGAAAAAACGATAATTTATGCAAAATTATGTTACTATCAATACCTCACATTTTGGTAGCAGACCATGCGAATAGGTCGACATTTTTTAGTAAGACCTTTTTGTTTTGCTTGCGTGTATTTGTCTCGATTGTATTGCTAATGTGTGTGACCTGACCAACATCCCTCCAAGTTGGCAATCCGATGTCTTCATTGAAGGTAGACTGGTTTCCATTTGTTTCTACTCTTAGGTGGAGGTCGAGTCTTTTTATATTGTGTACTAGCATGCTACTTTTATCTTGTAGTACTAAGTATATGAGGTCATAACACTAAAATTAATAATATTTTAAATATAAAAATTGATCATAAACAATATTATCATGACATATATGAGGTCAATACACTCTTATTTCTAGATGGAACATTGACGTCCATCGTGGGGTCGAGATTAAAGTCTCATTTTACTCATCATACTCCTTAGTCCTTGATTGAGAAACTATTATGTTTTGATATACTCACGAGTTTCACATCGTTTAGAAATTGAGGTAAAAAATAGTTTATATATATCCCTCTCTCAACTTATCGAAATATTTTTTAAGGACAAAACAAAACAAACTAAAACTCTAAAATGGACAATATTTCAAACATAAAAATTTAATCTAACATGTTATCACGGACATAAGACTTAGATAAAACAATTGTTTACCAAAGTTCCTTAAAAAATAAAATGTATTATTTTATCTCATATTTATCTAAAGATGGAAAAAGTATTTAAAAATAGAAAAGAAATATTTATACAAATATATTTTAAATCATTAATATACGTGAAATCCATAAAAAAAATTTAACAAATATATTATTTTAGTGGTAATCTTATTATCGGAATTGTTTAGAGCATATTTGAATATTTCTTAACAAATTATAGTTGATAAAATAAAATATATTATTATTTTAAATAACTCTCACGAGATAGATATGAAAATAATATATTTTAATTTTAATCGTTTTTTTAAGCAATTCTCACTATATAAATCCATACATAAACTTATTTTGAATAATTACAATTATCATATATACATTAATATATATATATATATATATATATATATTATTTATTTAAAATTATGATATAAACAACTCCTAGGTTTATGAAAACTCACAAAAATTACTAAAAATAAAGTATATCATTTTAATCTAATGTTATAATTAAATTACTTAAAATATGTCATAATTATTTGAAAATTGAGAAACTGTTTGGAACAGACTTAAAGAGCTTTGACATTTCATCGAAAAAATATATTTTACTTTAAAAACCATTTAGTAATTTTAATTTAAATCCATATTTTATATTGTTTTAAGACACAAATAATATTACGATTATATATATATACATTTGTTAGATATTTGAGAAAATATTCTTAAAAATAGACTTAAAGAGTGTTGACGCTTCATTAAAAAAAATTATAGTTTAAAATCATTTACTAATTTTAATTTGAATCCATATTTTGTCTTGTTTAAAGAGACAAAACTTTTCCGAATTTTTTAGATTTTTGCTAGACAATTAATAAGCTATTTTAGAAAATAGAGTTAAAGAGTTTGACACTTCATTAAAAAGTATTTTACTTTAAAAATCATTTACTAATTTTAATTTAATTTTGTCTTGTTTTAAAAATATTAAAGTTTCAAACTTATTCTCTTACTAAGTTAATATGATTAATTTTGGCTTATTTATTTATGAGTGTCTAGTTTATTTTTTATTAAAAAACTTACTAAGTGTGAACTTTTGGAAATTGTTAATCGAAATTTACAATATATTAAATTAACTTCATCGTTGAAGTTGAAATTAGTTTATTTCATAATTTGGGTTTATTTTTTTATATTTTCTTAATAGATTTTTTTTCTTTAATCAAATAATTATTTTACTCTATTTATTAATAATTTATTTTCTTTTTAAATTCATTGTTTTTTCTCTTTATTTGTTTTCTGTTTGGCAAATGGAGCATTGGATGAATAACCTAAATTAAACAAAGAAACCCCATATTTCAGCTTAATGTTTACATAAGAAACATTGAATTTTATAAACTATATGACCCAGAGGATAAAGGCCATGACTTTTTTTATGACGAATTGGAACCTCACATTATTATATTCTAAATTTCAATGCTTATGGCTTCAAATGGTGGAAAATATTTTATTCACTAGTCTCAGTCAATAACACTGTAGTGACAAACAAAATTCTAACCACAAAAAACTCTATTATTTAAATATTTTTAAATTAAATATCCACTTCATGTTTTTCACTCCAGATTTTTGCGTTCGTTAATTATTTTTGAAGTTTTAATACTAATTATAAATGTTTGAGAGTATTAATTTAACATATTATCTTTATAACACTTATTTTCTTCCATTCTGAGATTTATGAACACTTATACTTGCTGACATTATGTGTTGATTATATATACCTTGTAAGCAAATATTGAATATTGTGTTTGTTTGATTTTTCAATATTCAATTTAGACAATTTAGATTCAAACTTTGAAAAGTCATCGTGAAAATTTATATTTATTAGCATGTTATAGTATGTGTACTCAAGCTAAATAATTTTCAATATAACTAAATTTTATAATAAAGAAATTTGTTTAAATGTATAAATTATATAAGTATATATTTGAACATATGAATTGTAATATTTAGTTTTAATAATTTATATGATACATAGTTATTTGAATTATCAACAATTTATTTTAAAATTTTAAAATTTTAAAAAAATGAATACGTTTTATTGAAAGATATTAGTCATTAAAAATATAGTAATAACATGTAAATAAAAGAATAGTAATTTTGAGTTTTTAAATCAAATTAATTTTTCAATAAAATAAAAAATAGATCTAAATGTTTCATGTATAAATTCTGATAAGACGTGTAGTTCAATAAAAAAATATAAATAGTTTCGAAAAAACACTCTTATTTATAATCTTTTTAATATAAAGTGTACTCTTTTAAATTTAAATTTAATAATTTATAATATCATATAAAATAAATTATTAATAATTTTGAATAAAGGTTACGGAATTTCAAGTTTTAAATTCATATAATATATATATATATATATATATATATATATATATATGATTATTTTTTAACCGTTATTTGATATTAGAATGAAAAAAAAATATGATAGATTACAGAAGAAATAATTATTATAATTTATATATTTAAAAAATAGTAAAACATTATGAGAAAGGGAAAAAATATTACGGTGTAACAGAAATGAATAGATTAAAAGAAGTAGACAGTTAAAAAAGTTAAGTGTATTAATAAAAGATAATTTAAGATAATAGAAATAATGCATAAAATATATATCTAAAAGAGAGAAAAAGATAAAAAATATCCAATCTAGAAAATAAAATGTATTGAACTATTTTAATAATATGGGCATGAAGATTGTTGAAAGTCCCACATCGCCTACCTCATATAATTTGGTATGATTTAAATACATGTTAAGCTACTCCACATATTGCCAATTGGTTTTATGTTGGAACCTTAACATGGTATCGAGGCCAAAGCCTAACATCTTTCCGGTTATTGTCATAGGCCAAAAGTTGCCCTTTAGTTGGGTCAAAAGTACGTCCGGCAGGCTTCGTTGGAGGGGATGTGTTGAAAGTCCCACATCGCCTACCTCATATAATTTGGTATGATTTAAATACATGTTAGGCTACTCCACATATTACCAATTGGTTTTATGTTGGAACCTTAACAAAGATAAATAAAAATATTGGATCGAAAAGACAAAATAATTAATTTCGTCAATTAAATAATGAATGCAAGTTGGCATAAATAATGACTTGAAAAAAGACAAATTCATTTAATTAAGTTTACTGAAAAATGAAGGCAAATTCATTTATGACTTTCGAGATAGCATGGTCTTGACTTTGATTTTGCAGCAAGGGTCACGATTGTCAAAATATGCTTAAAATATATTTTTAATCCTTTTATTTCTAACTAGAAACTGATGTTTTATTTATAATTATTTTCATTTTCTTTTTGGAAATAGTTTTTTTTTTATTTAAATTTTCAATTTTCTATTTGGTTCTTCATTATAGTTTGGTAAGAAGCATGATAAAATAGTGACGAGAGGTCTAGTAATTATTGAAAACACACACAAAAAATTGTCGTCGAATTTTTACTTTTTTTAAATTCTTAGCTTCATATTCTGTTTCTTTTTAATGAAAGCGAAAATGTTCAAAGTAAAAAGTACTTAATTTTCATTTTCTTTTTCTAATTAAAATTTTTATTTCAATTATCCAAATTATCAAGAAGTTATTTGTTAAGATATATTTAATTTAGACTATGAAACTAAAATAATTGATTTTAAAACATAAAAAGTCAAATGTCTTTTTTAAAAAGAACAAACAAACAAACCGTTCATTTAAAAAATAAAATAAAAAAACAAAAATATAATTTAGTTAAAGCATTTCCTCAATCTTATTCACTGTATAAATGTTGCTTGAATTGCTTCACTCCACAAACCCTAAACAGCACGCCATAATCTCCACCACCAACTTCAGTAACCAGCCATGGAGGCATTTCCCTTGTGGGGTTACATTCTCGTCTTCCTCCTTCCTCTTCTCATCACTTACAACCTTCTCTTCAAAAGAACAAAACACAAAAACCTTCCACCAGGTCCAACCCCTCTTCCCATAATCGGCAACCTCAACCTCCTCGAACGCCCCCTCCACCGTTTCCTCCAACGCATGTCCCAAACGCACGGCAATATCTTCTCACTCTGGTTCGGTTCGCGTCTCGCCGTCGTCGTTTCATCGCCCTCGGCTTTCCAAGAATGCTTCACCGAAAAGGACGTCGCCTTGGCCAACCGACCACGCTCCCTCTCCGGAAAGTACATCTTCTACAACTACACCACCGTGGGGTCGTGCTCCTACGGCGAGCACTGGCGCAACCTCCGCCGCATCATCGCACTCGACGTTCTCTCCACGCAGCGCATCCATTCCTTCGCGGGAATCCGCAAGGACGAAACCGAGAGGATGATCTACACCCTCGCCAGGGCCTCGCGCGTGGACTACGCAGGCGTGGAGATGAGTTCCATGTTCCATGACATGACGTACAACAGCATGATGAGGATGCTGTCGGGGAAGAGGTACTATGGGAACGAGATTCAGGCGAAGGATTTGGAGGAGGCGAAGGAGTTCAGAGAGACGGTGGAGGAGTTGCTGCAACTCGCCGGAGTGTCTAACAAGGCTGATTATTTGCCCTTCCTTAGGTGGTTCGATTTTCAGAACCTGGAGAAGAGGTTGAAGAGTATTAACAAGAGGTTCGATACGTTCTTGGAAGCACTCATTCACGAACAACGCAACAAGAAGGAGAGGGAGAATACCATGATAGATCATCTTCTCAATCTGCAGGAATCGCAGCCAGAATATTACAGTGATCTAATCATCAAAGGCCTTGTTCTGGTAATGGTTTTAAATGTCTTCAGAATAAGGGTTTAATTTTCAAGTATAGAAAAAAATTGTATAATACTTTTCATAAGATTTAATTAACTATAACTAAAAATTAGTTTATATAATTGATAATATTATAATTTTTTTCTATAAAACAGACTTACTTTGATATTGGTCCTGATAAAAATGTTTTTAGTTTTTATCTTTTGAAATATAACGTTATTATTTTTTGCCTTTATTCTGACACGCTTTTTAAATATTTATGTATTTATTGAAAGTCAACTAACTATTTTTTCAGAAAACATCCCTAATATTAATCAGCATATGATATAGAATTTATAATTATAATACTAGGTAGCAAGCAGTGTAATTAAATGCTAATAAATTCTATATATAAAAAATATTTTAGTCATTGTTTCTATTCTACTTTTATTGTCATTCATCTTGAAAGATTAACACAAGTAACTGTTGATAGATAATTCAACGGTTTGAAACGGTAAAAGTTAACTCTATAAAATCATGCAGACAAAACGACCCTATCGCATGACGTAAGTTCTTGATCAACTGTTTGAATTTTGAAGTTGATTTGGATTGGGTTTGATTTGTAGGCTATGCTATTCGCTGGCACAGATTCTTCAGCTGTAACATTAGAATGGTCACTGTCAAATTTACTAAACAACCCAGAAGTGTTGAAGAAAGCAAGAGAAGAATTGGACGTTCACGTGGGAAAAGATCGCTTAGTAAACGAGTCAGACCTTCCAAAATTGACTTACCTTAAGAAGATAATCCTTGAGACACTAAGATTGCACCCTCCTGCTCCACTATCAATACCACACGTGTCCTCAGAAGACGTCACTGTTGAAGGATTCAACGTTCCACGAGACACCATAGTGATGATCAATATCTGGGCCATGCAGAGAGACCCTTCGCTGTGGAATGAAGCCACACGTTTCAAACCAGAGAGGTTTGACGAAAAGGGGTTGGAGAAGAAGGTGGTTGCGTTTGGAATGGGAAGAAGGGCTTGCCCAGGAGAAGGTTTGGCTCTGCAGAATGTTGGATTAACTCTGGGATTGTTGATTCAATGCTTTGATTGGAAACGAGTAAACGAGGATGAGATTGATATGAGGGAAGCAAATTGGTTCACATTGTCAAGATTAACTCCATTGAAGGCCATGTGCAAAGCTCGCCCTCTTGTCAACGATATTTTCAAGTAATGCCATGCATGTGTGGATCTATCATCAGCTGTAACGTTGAATTTTCAGTGTTTACGTGTTCAAAATTGATAATAATTAATATATATGCATGCTAGGTTTTCTCGAATAAAATTTCTGGACTTTTAGTTAACTTCGACACAGATTAATTATATATGACCAAGTCAAGTGATTTCATTTTTTGGATACTATTATTATTCATTTTTTGGATGTATACGATTTTTTTATTTTTTTCCAGATAACGTATGTAAATATATAAACTTAACTAAACTTAAACTCTAATATATAAAACTAATATTATATTGTATTAACTAAATCCCGTCATATCTAATATTATTTTAGGATTGTTGAAAACAAAATAACGATTCATGAGCACTTCATTAATATTTTTTTATAACAATTATTAAATGCGAGCATAGCATGTTTGATGGAACCAAAATACCCATCTACACCTAGAAAAGGAAAAAAATAATAATTATAAATTTATAAAAAGATGTAATATGATAAAAAGAGAGATACAAATGTCTCTATGTTTATTAAAAATGAGTGACATTTAATATTATATATATATATATATATATATATATAACTACCGTGAGTGATTGTTATAATCCTATTTGATAAATAATAATAAAAATGAATTTTTTAAGTTTATGAAAAATTCTTTATTGTTAATGATACTTTACAAAAAATAAAAAAATTATTAGTCGAGAAAAAACCAGGGTTCATACATTTGTACATGACAAATTCAAACTTCAACATACAACGCCACTAACTAAATATTGAAAATTAAATGTTACACTTTATCACAGACCCAAACATAAGACAACTAAATAAAGATGAATTATTTCAAATTAATCTGGTGAATGAGTGGGCGGGTTTTACACATGGCCTTCAATGGAGTTAACCTGGATGAAGTGAACCAATTTGCCTCTCTCATATCAATCTCATCATCGTTTACTCTTTTCCAGTCAAAGCATTGAATTAACAATCCCAAAGTCAACCCAACATTCTGCATGGCCAAGGTTTCTCCTGGACAAGCCCTTCTTCCCATCCCGAAAGCTACCAACTTTTTCTCCAATCCCTCTTCATCAAACCTCTCTGGTTTGAAACATGTGGCTTCACTCCACAATAGAGGGTCTCTTTGCATAGCCCAAATGTTAGCCATTATTATGGTGTTTCGTGGAACGTTAAATTCTTCAATGATTATGTCATCTGAGGAGACATGTGGTATTGCTAGAGGAGCATGAGGGTGTAACCTAAGTGTCTCAAGGATGATCTTTTTAAGGTAAGGCAAATTTTGAATGTCTGACTCATTCACCAAACGGTTTTGCCCTACTTTACTATCCAATTCATCTCTTGCTTTCTTCAACACTTCTGGGTGGTTCAGTAAATTTGACAGTGACCACTCTAAAGTTACTGCTGACGAATCTGTCCCAGCGAAGAGCATAGCCTACAATGCAAGTTAACCGTACAAAGTAAAAAACATGTATTTAACTTCACATAGCATGTCATCAAGGCATGTTATAATTCTGGTATGCATGATTATATATAAAGTAACTGATATGGTATGAATGTGTTATTTGAAAGGGGACAAATTCATCTTTAACACGAAGATATATTATTGTAGTACTGTGAGAATCACTACCAAAACAAGGCCTTTGATGATTTGATCAGTATAATACTCGGGCTGCGACTCTTGCAGATGTAGAAGATGATCTATCATGGTGTTTTCTCTCTCCTTCTTGCTGCGTTGCTCGTGAATGAGTGCATCCAAGAACGTATCGAACCTCCTGTTAATACTCTTCAGCCTCTTTTCCAGGTTCTGAAAATCGAACCACCGAAGGAAGGGTAAATAATCTGCTTTGTTGGACACTCCGGCTAGTTGCAGCAACTCCTCCACCGTCTCTCTGAACTCCTTCGCCTCCTCCAAATGCTTCGTCTGAATCTCGTTCCCGTAGTACCTCTTCCCCGATATCATCCTCATCATGTTGTTGTACGTCATGTCATGGAACATGGAACCTAACTCCACGTGCGCATACTCTACGCACGAGGCCTTGGCCAGGGTACGCATCAGCCTCTCCGTTTCGTCCTTTCTGATTCCCGCGAAGGAGTGGATTCGTTGAGTGGAGAGAACGTCGAGTGCGATGATGCGGCGGAGGTTGCGCCAGTGCTTGCCGTAGGAGCACGACCCCACGGTGGTGTAGTTGTAGAAGATGTGTTTTCCGGAGAGGGAGCGTGGTCGGTTGGCCAAGGCGACGTCGTTTTTAGTGAAGCATTCTTGGAACGCTGACGGCGATGAAACGACGACGGCCAGACGGGAACCGAACCAGAGAGAAAATACGTTGCCATGTGTTTTAGACAGGCGTTGGAAGAACCGATGGAGGGGGCGTTCGAGGAGGTTGAGGTTGCCGATTATGGGAAGAGAAGATGGACCTGGTGGAAGGTTTTTGTGTTTTCTTCTTCGGGAAAAAAGGTTGAAAATGGTGAGAAGAAAAGCAAGGAAAAAGAGAAAGTACGACAACAATGAAGACATTTCCATGACTTGTTCGAGCACTAAGATGAGATTATGGAAAGCCATTAACGTTTCTCAAGAACGTGGGTTTCTTAGTTTGTTGAGTATAGTTGAACCAAACATGCATGTGAGAATTTGAGTTAATGCAACATGTACCATCTTAAGTAAAGTTTATATAGCGATTAGGGTTGACGAATTGTTTTTATGTTAATATATAATGGAAAAATTGAAGTCAACACTTTTCCTCTCTCAAAAGCCTAGATTCAGTGTACCAAAAAAGAGAAAGTATTAATCTACCAATAAAAAGCCAAGATTCATGAAATGGCAACATATATATAAATAAGAATTGTCTTCATTTTTAATTAACATGTTTTTAAATGGATTTGTTTGTTGAAAATCAACTATTTACTCTTAAATTATAAATTAAAATAAACAATTTGAAAGAACACTCCTTGTTTCTGGAACAATTTAAACACTATATCTATTGATACTTAAAAAAAATATTATTTTCAACCACATCAAACTATGATTTCCTTATTACTACACTAAATCTCTTTAACGTTCATTTTTCAATTTTATTTTTATTAATCTACTTCTAAACTGAATCCAACGATTTTCTTTTAAATTTATCAATAAAAAATAACTTTAAATCACTATTCAAATTATTATTGTAAATTCAAAATATAATTTATATATTAACGATGTTTAATATTATAAATTTTAATCATAGTATATTTCGTATATGAAAAATATTTGTTAATAACAAACTTCAATGATACAAAAATTAAATATATAGTAGTTTAGTTTAGGTAGATGAAGCTACATATCGAAATTCGAGAGCCACCTACTCTACGCCGTTTATGTTTCATTTACGTAATTAATGGATTTGTTTTTCCCGATTCCACATGCATGCATATGCATTGATGTCGGAAAATAAAACTGAAAAAAATTGTTAAGAACCAGACACTAATATACAACTGATTATATTAATATAATACTAAGATTTATTATTGTATTAATATAATAGGTGTTAGTAGCAAATCGAGAAAAGCGATCGAAAATGAAGGAAAAAATGTGACTCGATAAGATAAACTAAAATTCATTCGATGTCTAATTAGAAGTACGTAACATATAGCATCGAGAAACACAATCGAGAATCGAGTGAATGATAACCAAATGCTTGTTGTCGAATAAAAACTAAGTCATATGAGACCAGGGTTAAAAAGGAATCGTAAACAATTTGAAGTTCTCAAAAAATACAGAATCGAGAGTAAAGAAAGTCAATGTGGACATCGAAACTTTGGGCAAATCGTGAAAGGAAGTAAGTCAAATGCACGTATAGAGAGCGGTTTCGAAACCATGGGAAAAAAGTCGGAGATCATGAGAACGTGGGAAACTATAGAAGATAAATTGTCATACGCACGTAGAACGTGGTAGCAGTCGTATTAACTGCTCTTGGAAGGCTTGAACGATGCCCTATAAATAGAGCAAAGGAGGAAGGAACAAGGGGCGGAAATTGGCAGAGAATAGAATCAGTAGTGAAAAGTCTACCGGAGAAACGACGAACACCATGAAGCTTCTGGCAATCTGGATTTCCTTGCTCACTGAGTACATTTACCGCTTTCTGTATTTTCCTTGGTAATTTACTTTGATGCAACTTAAATTCAGCGAGCTTAAGTTTCTGTCTTTTCGATTCCTTGTCATTTCAATTCAATGAAAGTTTAAGTTTTTGTATTTACGATTTCCTGTCATTTAACATTTTGTAAATCTCGATTTCCTGTCATTTACTTTTCTTGCAATCTCGATTTCTTGTCATTTATATTTGCGCTGTTTTCGATTTCCTGTCATTTACAATTAATGCAAATTTGGGGTTTTCGCACTTTACATTTCCTTGCAATTTAATATTCTGTTTCTCGATTCGATATTTTTATTGTGTTTGGTATTTTAAATATAAAAAAAATAGCGTTTTCGATATTCTGTGACTTTCGATTCTCATACACGTTTTCGATTGAAAGTCAGACTGCTAGCCCAAGGAAAAAGAACTTATGTGGGAGGATTTTGATTAGGACCAAATCACCTTCAGAATCGAAATCGATCGAAATTCCACCAGAAACAAATTGGCGCGCCAGGTAGGGGGCTTTTTGTGTTGAGAAACACAAAATTGGTTAGTTCGAGAGTGTATGAGATTAAGGAGTGGGAGAGTCATGAGTCAGAGTTCATCAAGTAACCAGAGTAACACTGAGGGATTAAATGGGTCACACCCACCAAATACTGGGGGGCAAAGTCATAATGGGAATACACCTGTAGTATCGACAACTGTAAGTATGTCGATACCCGTGAGTAATGAACAAAATTCAGGCACTTTAGCAAATACCCAAGTAGGATCTAGCACGGTGGCACTAAACAGTATGCCAACTATGGGAAACCCTATAACAACAAATGTTGGGCCGTATATGAGTATAAGACCACCTGGGTTTTCGCTTAACATGAATGGGGTTGGTACTTCTTCGATGCAACGAAATTCGAGATATAACTTAGGAACATTTCAAACCCTAGGTATGCCACAGAATCTTGGAGCATCTCCAAACCTAGGAACATCTCAAAATTTAGTAATTCCCCAGAACTCAGGGAATGTGCAGAATGTAGGAACGCAACAAATACCTCCAAATCTAGATCATAGAGGAAACGTAGATCATGGGAGATATACATTCGATAGGGATTATCATCGATCTAATTTTGATACTATCGAAAATACTGGTACTGGAATATCTAGTAACTCCTTAGGAATACTTAGACAACAAATGGATGAGAGTAATTTTGAGATGGTGAATATGTTATCACAACAGTTGACTACAGTCCTAAATCCATTAGTTCAAAACACTACTGCTAGTTTTGAGATATTAGCAGATCAAATGTCACGAATCGGGGATGCATTGGCTGTACCTCGACAAACGAGGGTAGAAAATCGTGCTAATCAGAATACTAATATCAATCCCCCATATCTTTTAAGGAGAAATCGAAACAATGATCAACAAATGGGGAATGAATACCAACATGGAAGAAACGATATTTATGGAAATATGAATGAGGGATTCCAAAATATGTATAATCAAAATAACATGCAAAATAATCACATGTTAGGACAAAGGATGAATTTCCAAGGGATAGAATTTAGACCACCCAACCAAACATATTTTGTGTCTCCTTTTCCAAACATGATTCTCGAGACGGAATTACCTCGAGGATACAAAGTACCTAAATTCACCAAATTTGCTGGAGAAGTTGGTGAATCAACGATCGAGCATGTAGCTCGATATCAGATCGAATGTGGAGATCTAGCGATGAGTGAAGAATTAAAAATGAAATATTTCCCTAGTTCTTTGACTAAAAATGCTTTTACTTGGTTCACTTCGTTGCCACCCAATTCGATATATAATTGGCTGCAACTGGAAAGAAATTTTCATGAGCAATTCTTTAGAGGAGAAACTCAAGTAAGTCTCATCGACTTGATGAATATAAAAAGATACAATCATGAAAGCATAGATGATTATTTGAATCGATTTAGACAAATGAAATCGAGATGCTTTACTCAAATTCCTGAATATGAATTAGTCAGAATGGCCTCTGCAGGCTTAGAATTCTCGATTAGGAAAAAGTTAGTCAATTTACCATTGAATGATATGGCTCAGTTAGCTGATAAGGTGAGAAGAGTAGAACAAATTGAATATGAAAAACAAAGATATAAGAAATTTGAGAAACCGATGAAGAAAGAAAGAATAGCATATATAAATGATGTGTATGAAACAGATCCCACGACAGAGAATGATGTGGAAGAGACTGTCGAGGAGAAAGTAAATATAGCAGAGCTCAAAGTAGGAGCCCCATATATTTGTAAATTGCTACAAAAGAATGAAGTAAAAGACAAAATGGCAAATCGAACATATACTTTCGATGTGACAAAGGCTGATAAAATTTTCGATATTTTACTAAAAAGATAAACAAATTAAGTTGGGCGAAGAGCATAAATTGCCTTCGTCAGAACAAAGGAATGGTCGAAAATATTGTAAATTTCATAATATTTTTGGACATTGGACTAACAATTGCATACATTTCAGGAATACGATCCAAGATGCGATTGACCAAGGAAGACTGAAATTCGAAGAGATGTCGATGAAAGTGGACACGAGTCCATTCGAAGTGCAAGTGGGATACATCGAATCCCAAACGGGCATGACTGAGGATGTCCGAATGACGAATTCTACCTTTGTAGGCATGATCGATACTACTGAAGACATTGATCCTAAACATGTTAGAATGGACGTGTCTGAAGAAGATATGGAATTCGATCTGAGTGAATTCGAGAAGGAGTTCGAAAAGGAGATCTACCCTCGATCAGGGGATTCCCTAATTGAGTTTTTGAATAGAAAGAAAGAAAAAGACGAAGATGTGTCGCTATGCCCACGATGCAGTGCGGTGTTCGATAAATCGGCTGCTAAAGCTTTCAAGTTAGAACAGATAAAGAAGATCGAGAGCCAGAGTAAAAGGAAAAACGACAAAGTGGATCAAACGGCCCGACCAATGATCGAAGAAAGTCAACAGAAATCCGTTGGTTCTGGTGTTAGCGGAAATCAAAGGCAATGGGTCAGAAGAGAGATGTATCCTTCTCGAGGAGGAAGAGGCAGACTTCAGAGCAATGATGTCTTTGAGAGATTGTCATACGATGAAAGATCAAACACTGGATTTCCAACATTCCAAAGGAGATTCTGAGGAAGGCCCTGGAGAAGAGGAGGAAGGATCCCTTATTGGAATAATTATAGAAACTTTGAAGAGAATATTGTACCGATGGAGAGTCAATATGCAAGAGAATTCTTCGATGATAAGAATGAGGGTACTTGGGACGAGCGTCAAATCGGAGTAATATCAATACTACCGGTAGTGAATATCAAGAGTACCAAGAACAGAGTGATGCCAATCGAGAAGATGACTTATACTCATAAAACATAAAGCCAAAGGTAACATGGGTTACACAAACATCATGTGAAGTACCTCATAGAGATGCTGCTTTT